CGCGGACCTGCAGCTGGTGCGGGAGCGGCGGCGCGTGGCCAACGCCAAGGAGCGCGAGCGGGTGAGGGGTCCCCAGGGCCACCTCGGAGCGGGAGGGGGCGGCTCCCGCACCCCACAGCCGGCCAGTAGCCGGCGCCCCCACTCCCCGCCCGCCCGCGGGCCTCGAGGCGACTTCGACCTCCCGAGGCCCGGCTCGTGTCCCCAGCTTGTTGGGAGAGTGACGGTGGCCTCGTTACCCTGCGTCTCCGGCCCTCTGCTCGTTCGCGGCCGCTGGGATGGCCGCCCCGCCTGCTCGGTCTCCGGACTTGTGCGGGAAGTGGGTCCGGGACGGGGACACAGGGGGGTCCCGGACAACGTCACAAGTGTTTCCCGTGGCAGGTGCTTTCAAAGGCTTAGAGCCCGGAGTGGCGCTTAAATGTCACAGCTGGAGGCGCTGGTTGGGTGCGTGGGGCGCAGAGGGTCCCCCCCACTCCTCCCTGCCCTCTGCACCTCGAAGCAAATACAGGGTGAGGGAGACGGGGGCTAACGAAGTTACTTTGCTGTAAGTAACGAAATACAACGCCCCGGTGAGCGCCTGGACTTCACTGAACCCCGTCAGGAGAAGGAAGCGACTGTTCTAGTCAGGCGGGGACGCAGTAACTCACAGCAGGGAAAGGTCCCGGGGGCCGTGGCTGGAGCGGCATCTGCTGGTATCTTTTAGTATCTCTGACTAAACCTGGCCCGACCCTGTCACACCTGCCGGTTGCAGTCTTTGGGCTTGGTTGCAGCCCAGGCAGATCCTAGAGAGGGAAGGGTGAGGGCTGGGAGAGGGTGCCTAGCCTCTTAGGCCTAGGACTCGGGAGAAGTGAGTTCTGCTGGGTGCTGCTCCTAAACACCCCAGGCCCTTTAGACATGTGGCCCCAGTGAATCACCAAGGAGCTTTGTTTGGGAAAAGGTGTGAGGAGAAAGGACCAAGTAAAAGTAGAAGATTTAAGGGAAGTTGGCAAGATTGCAAGAGTGGGGAAGTATGCTTTACCAGGCACTGGACTCTTCATGAAAATAATCCTGTGACTTGATTTGATGGCCCAAATACGAGGTTATGATCCGACATTTTAAGTGGCCCTTCCCACCAAGGAAGGATTTGCCTTCTGCAGAGAATCGGTCCTGGTTTTTTTTATCCATTAAAGCACTAATGACCTTAGTTGTTCTTTATAATGATAAAATTAATACACCCAGAAAATATAGAAATAACTGAGGGAATGGAGACACTTATAACACAGATGTAACTACTGTGAACATTTTTGTATATATCCTCCCAGTCTTTTTTCCAGTGTGTATGCATATATACACTTTTCCAAATTTTGATCCAGTACATATCTTTGTAATTTTTTTCATTTAATATTATCAAAAGCATTTCCTTACATTCTTAAGTATTCTTTGAAAGAAGTTTTTGACTGCATGCCTGTCCTATAAATGGACCACAACTTATTCAATCTTCCACTGTTGGGCATGTTTGCTGTTTGCAGCTTTTTACTGGTGCATAAATCTATGTGTGTGTCTGATAATTGCCTTAAAATAAAATGCTAGAAGTGGAATTACTGGGACATAGGAAGTATACAGTCTTATGACTTTTGATATAAGTGCCCAGTTGCTTTCTAGAAAGGTTTACTGTTATCCCTTCTTACAGGGTATAGGACAGTTCTTTTTTATGCTATCCCTGCTGCTGGGTGTGACAAACAATACAGAAATGTTACCAGCTGGGTGCATGAAAATGATACTTAATCACTGTTTTCGTTTGTAGTTCTTTGATTATTAAAGTCTTTTCATATGTTCACTAGTCAGTGTATTCTCCTTTGAACTGGCCTTCTTGTCCAGTCCACTTGGCTCCAGGGTGGGAAGGGGCTCTCCATGTAAGTATTGGCTTTATGGTATAGTGGGAGCCGGATCTCCCACAGCCTGTGTCCTCTATGGGGGGTGGTCATCAGAGGTATAGGCTTTCAGAGCCAAGGGATTAGGCTCTGGAGAATACAGAAAAATAAAAAATGAGGAGCCTTTGAATCTCACCCACTCTCTTAACTCTCACACTTGATTCTCTATCATTAATTAGAATCAAGGAAAGAGGCTGAAGAGTGGATGGCCCAGTATGTGAATAGACAGTGTTTGTACATTTTTTTTTTTTTTTTGTCTTTTGTCTTTTTCCGTGTCCGGCAACGGATCGCAACCCTCAGTGTCGCCCCCGCACCGGACCGGGGACCGGCAACGGGATCGCAACCCTCGGTGTTGCTCCCGCGCCTCGCTCAGCCAGTGAGCGGGAACCGGTCTGCATGTGGGATCCGAACCCTTGGGCGGGAGCGCCGCCGTGCTTCCCAAGCAGCGCACTATCCAGTGCGCCACCGGGCCGGCCCCGTGTTTGTACATTTTATTCATCAGCAGTATCATTTACTGAGGACTATCTGTGTGCCAGATTTGGGTGAGGTGTCTTATGTATACGTGACGTCACTTAATCACCCCCCAAAAAGCTACAAGATATTTTCCATTTTGCAGATGGACAAACTGAGGCTTAGTGATGTGAAATATCCCAAGCACTCTTGTAAATGGTAGACCTGGGTTTTAAATCACGTTGTAGTTGACTCAGATTTCAGCCACTACCTTCTACTATCTGTACATTAGAATGCAGTGGGTATGCTCTCAAAAGAAGAGGAAGGAGTTCAGCGTGAACACAGACACACCTCCAGCCCATTCACCTCCAGTGCTGAGTTTATGCCACTCCCTCTTCCTTTGCCATGACCTGCAATGCTGGTGGAGCAGTGACTCTTTGGGGGCACACACCTATTTAGATTTGCTGCCCAGGCAAGAGGGCTGTGGAAAGGAGCCCTTAAAACCCCCTTCTGTGGCTTGGGGGGTGGTGTCTGGCCAAACTGACTTCTGTGTGTCACTGTGCCTTTTTGTTTTCTAGATAAAAAATCTCAACCGTGGTTTTGCCAAATTGAAGGCTCTTGTGCCATTTCTTCCTCAAAGCAGGAAGCCTAGCAAAGTTGATATCCTTAAAGGTGCGACTGAATACATACAAGTTCTCAATGATGTTTTGGAAGGAGCCAAAGACTCGGAGGTAAAGGTTTAAGAATTTAGAACAATGATAGCCACCATTATTGCGCCCTTTCTATATACCAGACACTGTGCAAAGCAACTTATTTATACTTTCCAGTTAACATTTATGTCAGTCCTCTGAGCTATTATCTCCATTTTACAGAGGAGGAAATAAAAATGTAGGTAAAGGCCACACAGCTAAAAACTATCAGAAGTGAGATTTGAACCCAGTTCTGCATAAGTGTTGGCATCAAGTCCCTGACTATCTATGTACTTACCTCCTGTCATTGTCCAGGGTGCCTAGCTCGTAACTGCTGAATCTGTCATAGTATCATGACAGCTGGGACATAAGAAGAGGCTTCCATGAAAGCACTTTGTGGTGGTGGTTTCCCTTCAGCAGAACACACATCAGACAAGACACAGAAAGGAAGAGCATTTCTTTCCTTAAGGGGCCTACCTTAGGATAGGCCCTCCCTGGGTGACTATCTAGCTGGAGAGCTCATCAATGGTCTGGTGATGCCAGTCTCTGATGATACCACTGAACCATTGAGTGGATTGACATAAATGAACCCGCTTTGTAAACTGAAGCACCATAGTGTCACCGTCACTACCAGGGTGGCATAGCTCAGAAGTGTCCATTAGGCAGCAGGAAGTGTGGGCTGGTTTTATGAACTTGTTTCATGGGGAGGTGAATGCCGAAGGCCTGAAAATGGATCAGTCATCAGAGGAGATGAGAGCTGAAGAGAGAAAAGGCCTTAGAAATGAGGCCTAAGGGACACCATTGGCAGGAGGAAGGAGGAGTCATTAAAGAGGAGAAGATGACAGGAAGATGGAGGGAAAAGATGAGCTCATAAAGTGGAGAAGAGAACCTTGGGAAACTGAGGGTGGGAAGTATGAGAAGCCACAGAGAGGCCGAGGAAGGCCAGGCCAGGGGAAGGTATCCAGGGTCAGCCTGTGAGAGGTCGAAGACGAGTGGGCTGGAAGTCAACTCATGAGAGGTTGAGAGAACCTTGGGAAACTGAGGGTGGGAAGTATGAGAAGCCACAGAGAGGCCGAGGAAGGCCAGGCCAGGGGAAGGCATCCAGGGTCAGCCTGTGAGAGGTCGAAGACGAGTGGGCTGGAAGTCAACTCATGAGAGGTTGAGGGTGCATTGTTGGTTAATATCTGGAGTCCAGACGGAGGGAAGTGGTAGACTTCAAGTCCATTCAACCTGGAAGTCTGAGAGTAGAAGGAAGGATTATAAGAATGGAAGGAAGAAAAGCTGTTAGATCAAATGAAGGTCTTTTATAAGTACTGATGTGATCATGCTTAGAGACAGAAGAGAAGGAGAGAGATGAGAAGTAATTATTTTAGGAACTTGGGGCAGAAATAGCCAGGTGTATATTAGTACTTTCGGATTGTGTTTTTCCCCTCTTTTCCACTAGTCCTAGGCAGGTGACTGCTGGGGAGATATGTTCTGCAGTGGCAGGAATGAATTGTCTTATTGGCCAAATTGGATGGTTGGGTTGTGGCATGGTGTTGGACATGTGCACGTGGCCTCCTTAGTTTTTCCTTGCATGTTTGTTGTGTAACAGAAGTGCCTTGTTCTGTGCTGCAATCATTATAAAATATAGGATCTGTTTCATGCTGTTTTTAGCACAGTTCCCCATTGCACAACATTTTAAGGTTAAGAAGAACAAAATACAGTCAATTGAGCAATATTTTTCTCTCCATCATAACGTAAGCATTGCCCTTATCACATGAATGAAACCTCATCGGTTAAAATTTTGAAATCTATTGATTCAGTTCTTCAAAATCTGACTGTCACACTGTTTGACAACTAATAACGGTTTCTAGAAACAAGACCCAGATGAGCAGGACTACAGCAGCAATACGTCTGAACCACACATATCCTTGGCTACGGAGCTATCGAGAAAGATGACCCAACATACCAGCTGTGCTGTCAGCTTGAAGAATGAAGAGGAAGGGCCCTGGGCAGATGGCGGCAGTGATCAGCTGGCAAACACTTGTCACCAGAGCAGGAAGTCTACCACTGGAGTTATCTCCCCAACCAGGAGCCTGGTATAGTATTCCTCCTTAAATAGCCATATGGATGTCAAAAAACTCAAAATGTATACTTCTAGGTGTGTGGCATTTTCCATACTAAAACATGATTAAAACAAGATAATTTTGTGAAAGAACCTGGGTGGGATGGTGGGGCTTGCTAGTTTGGAAGGTTATTTTGTTCATAAATTAACTGGAAAGCAGCTCAAGGGGTGGGGAAATTCCTCTAGAACCATCCAATACAGAATACAGACCTAAGCTTTTTTTTTTTTTTTAAATAACCCTGTTTAGGTCTTTGTTGTTATAACCGTCCTAGGGAGTGTTAAGTGGTATCTCATTGCAGTTTTGACTTGCAGTTCCCTAATGACTAATGATGATGAGCATCTTTTCATATACTAATTGGTTATTTGTTTATCTTCTTTGGAGAAATGTCTATTCAAATCCTTTGCCCATTTAAAAATTGAGTTGTCTTGGCAAACTTTGACCATAAATAAAATAGGTTTCTTTCAAAAAAAACAAAAACTCTATTTAACACATTAAAAGGTTTTCTGGACTCTGGTCTCCAGAAAAAGAAAAGGGCTTGCCAAATGTAATGATAAATGGTAATACTATTTTTTTTCCCCTACTCATAAGGTGACATTTTCTAAGTAATAAGAAAGGAGTTTTTATTTTAACAGCTCTTACTACTTTGTCAAACTAAAGAGTCAGCTGGAAGTAGCAACATGCTTCTCCATGTCCAGAAGATGGGCTTTTTGCCTTTGCTGTGGATCAGTGTTACACAAGTGAGGCCCCTTGTTCTATCCTACCCTGTAACACTATTGCTGTTGAAATAAGAAAGGCTTGCAGGAATCTGAACCAAGCATATGGTAACAAGCAAGTTGCTTAGTGTGATAAGGGACAGTGGGTGCTGTCACATATGATGGTTAGTGGGAGGCAGTTGAATGTAGGCTCTGGGGATAGACTGCTGAGGTTCAAATCCTGGTTTTACCACTTGCTGGCTGTGTGGCCATGTGTGAGCTACTGAACCTTTCTAATCCTCAGTTTCTCCATCTGTAGAATGGGTATGCTAATTTACCTAACTTGTACATGAGATAACTGTGAGGTTCAAATGATATCATGTCAGTGAAGGATCTAACATAGTACCTGGCATGTTAATGTTCGCTTGGACAGGTATCAAATTTGCTTGGCTCACCGTGAGCAATAAATATTGATTGAGCAATCAAAATATTGATTGAGCAATCAGTATTGATTGGTGAGCAATCAATATTGATTGGTGAGCAATAATAAGCCGCAGACATCCCAGCTCTCTTTGTAGCAAGTGTTTTGGTCTTTCTCACTTGATTCTCGTCATTGCTCCACTCTGATTTGAGATCTTACAGGCTTCCTGCTAGCTGGCTGGCCAGCTGGCCTTAGCTGTCATTTCTAATTTGACTGCTGTTTTCTATGGATTCCATTTGCACATATGCTCAGCCTAGATTTTTATATTCTGGCCACTTGAGATAAAAACTTTCCTTGCCGGTCAACCTTTAGAAGACAGAATTCCTGTTGCCTACTATATGAGCTAACATGGAATGACTGAGAACAAAAGAAAGAGTAAAGAAATGACCTGAGGGGCCCTTGAACCTGACCTGAAACCTAAGTTAATAATAGTATTGCATGCATTGATAGTAATAGCATTGATAGGCACTAGATATTAGGCAGGACTCTGACTTGCATTTAATCCTCGTTGATCCTTGTCAGGGAGGTATCATCGTGTCATCCGCATGGTGACCTACCTGGCTATACCTTCCTGCCAGCCCTCTTGGGCCTGGGTTGGAACAGGAGCCTATGCAGTGGTGGAGAGGACCTGTGCTCAGCAACACCACTGCAAGTATGCATAGGAGGGCTTTGTTTTCCAACGAAGATTGAGCCTTGGGATAGGCCACTTATAGTACGTCAATTTCCTAGTAAGAAACAAAATTTCTGACTGGAATGTTTTTTTTTTAAAAAGGGGAACAAGACAATGAAAGCCTTGATCTAAAAATTAAAGACAATTTTTAGTCTTTTTAGCTAATCAAGTTTGTCAGTCAGAAGAGTGAGCTAATACTTAGAATGAACAAAGAATGAATCACATATTTGGGATTTTTTATATAGGTAAGTTCTGACAAGTATGATTTCCAAGGCCTGATTGTAAAAAACACCACTTTTTCAGTTTTGTCAAGGATTTCTCATCCTTTGACATTCAAATCATTCGTTTTTAAAATACAAAATTATTTTGAAACAATAATCAACTTACAGAAAGTTTGCAAGTACACTACAAAGAACTTTTTTTCCTGACCCATCTGAGAGTAAGTTGCCAACCTAATATCCCCTCACCCTAATTACTTCAGTGTGTATTTCCTACAGAAGGGGACACTCTCCTACATAACCACAATTCAACCACCCAAATAAGGAAATTCATGTTACTTCATTACTGCCATGCAGTTCTCAAGCCCCGTTCAAGTGTTACCAATAGTCTTAATAATGTTCTTTTTAGCTAAGGACCCAGTGGAGGGTCATAGGTGCATTTAGTTGTCATGTCTCTTTAGTTTCCTTTAGTCTGGAAAAGTTCCTTAGCGTGACTATGACTTTTATGACAGTGACACTTTTGAAGATTACAGACCAGTTGTTTTGTAGAATGTTTCTTGATCTGCATTTGTCTCCTTGTGATTAAATTCAGATATGTATCTTAGGTAGGAATCAGGGAATTGATAATGTGTCCTATTAGATGGGCCAGATTTTGATTTGTTCTATTTCTGATGATATTCACTTTGATCCCTTAAAGTGATGACTGCCAGGCTTCTCCACTTTAGAGTTAATCTTTTTCTTTTGTAATTAATATGTGTTTTGTGAGGAGGTGCTTTAAAACTACCTAAATAGCCTGGTACTCACCAAGCATTCTGTATTTATTAAATTTTTAATTTTGAAATAATTATAGATTCAGAGGAAGTTGCAGAGATATTATAGAGAAGTCCTGTGCATCTTTCACCCAGTTTCCCCCAGTGGTTTCATCTTATGTTACCTGTAGTATAATATCAAAACCAGGAAATTGATATTGGTACCAAGTGTGTGCATAGTTCCATGTCATTTTATTACATGTGTAGATTCGTGGAACCACTGCATCAAGATGCAGAACTGCCCCATCAGCATGAGGATCTCCTTTGTGCTACCCCTTCACAGTCCCACCCATGCCTGCCCCACTCCTTCACTCTTGCTCACTCTTGGCAACCACTGATCTCTTCTCCATCTGTGTAATGTACTTCGAGAATGTTATAAAAATGAAATCACACCATATGTAACCTCTAAAGAGTTCCTTTTTTTTTTTTCCTTTTTCTTTTTAACTAGCACAATATCTTTGAGATCATCCAAATTGCTCTATTGGGAGTCTGGGCTTCCTATTGATTGCTGAGTTCATGGTATGGATGAACCACTGTTTAACCATTCACTTATTTTAAAACATTTTGTTTCCATATTCACTTATGTTTTTATATAAGCATGGGTGCATTGTTTTCTATTTACAATATCATACTTCATTATTTTTTGTTGCTCAGATTGCCCTCATTGTGGCCAGTGAAAGCCCCTTCAGATGGGCTCCTTTTCTGTTTGGCACGTTATCATCCTTCTTTGGTCACTTCCTTTTTGGCAGAAGATGTTCCAAGCTCATTTTGTACTTACCCACCCCCAGCCTTTGCACGGGCCATTGATCCAAGGACACTCCCTGTGTGTAACTCATCCCCCATCTCTGCTGCCATCTCCTCCCTGCATGGCTGTTCTCCTACCCCTCTTGGGCTTTAACACCTTCCTCATTCCACAAGAACCCTCTCCTTGGCTCTGACATTCTACACCCTCACCCCAGGCAGGGATTCCTGCTCATGTGTAGGTGCCATCTCACCCTGCTGGAGCCCTGATACATCACTTTGGGTCACTACGACTCCTTCCTACCTTACCATGACCCCACTAATGGCATTAGGACTGAATTGTTCAGAAAGGGGAAGGAGAAAGGGAAATAATTTTTTCTTTGAAGTGCCTGCTGTGCAGCCATCTTTCTGGCTTCCTGCTCATGTGTAGGTGCCATCTCACCCTGCTGGAGCCCTGATACATCACTTTGGGTCATTACGACTCCTTCCTACCTTACCATGACCCCACTAATGGCATTAGGACTGAATTGTTCAGAAAGAGGAAGGAGAAAGGGAAATAATTTTTTCTTTGAAGTGCCTGCTGTGCAGCCATCTTTCTGGCTAGTTCGTATAACTTCGTATAATGTATGCTATACGAAGTTATTACGTATCATTTACTGAGGACTATCTGTGTGCCAGATTTGGGTGAGGTGTCTTATGTATACGTGACGTCACTTAATCACCCCCCAAAAAGCTACAAGATATTTTCCATTTTGCAGATGGACAAACTGAGGCTTAGTCATGTGAAATATCCCAAGCACTCTTGTAAATGGTAGACCTGGGTTTTAAATCACGTTGTAGTTGACTCAGATTTCAGCCACTACCTTCTACTATCTGTACATTAGAATGCAGTGGGTATGCTCTCAAAAGAAGAGGAAGGAGTTCAGCGTGAACACAGACACACCTCCAGCCCATTCACCTCCAGTGCTGAGTTTATGCCACTCCCTCTTCCTTTGCCATGACCTGCAATGCTGGTGGAGCAGTGACTCTTTGGGGGCACACACCTATTTAGATTTGCTGCCCAGGCAAGAGGGCTGTGGAAAGGAGCCCTTAAAACCCCCTTCTGTGGCTTGGGGGGTGGTGTCTGGCCAAACTGACTTCTGTGTGTCACTGTGCCTTTTTGTTTTCTAGATAAAAAATCTCAACCGTGGTTTTGCCAAACTGAAGGCTCTTGTGCCATTTCTTCCTCAAAGCAGGAAGCCTAGCAAAGTTGATATCCTTAAAGGTGCGACTGAATACATACAAGTTCTCAATGATGTTTTGGAAGGAGCCAAAGACTCGGAGGTAAAGGTTTAAGAATTTAGAACAATGATAGCCACCATTATTGCGCCCTTTCTATATACCAGACACTGTGCAAAGCAACTTATTTATACTTTCCAGTTAACATTTATGTCAGTCCTCTGAGCTATTATCTCCATTTTACAGAGGAGGAAATAAAAATGTAGGTAAAGGCCACACAGCTAAAAACTATCAGAAGTGAGATTTGAACCCAGTTCTGCATAAGTGTTGGCATCAAGTCCCTGACTATCTATGTACTTACCTCCTGTCATTGTCCAGGGTGCCTAGCTCGTAACTGCTGAATCTGTCATAGTATCATGACAGCTGGGACATAAGAAGAGGCTTCCATGAAAGCACTTTGTGGTGGTGGTTTCCCTTCAGCAGAACACACATCAGACAAGACACAGAAAGGAAGAGCATTTCTTTCCTTAAGGGGCCTACCTTAGGATAGGCCCTCCCTGGGTGACTATCTAGCTGGAGAGCTCATCAATGGTCTGGTGATGCCAGTCTCTGACCTTGGTGTTGTCAGCACCACACTGTACCAAGTGAGCCATGGGCCGGCCCTACAACCCTATTATTTTAGCGATTCTTTTGGTTCTCTTTGGATAACTCTCTTCCTTTTTGGAAAGCTTTTCCCTCCTTGAACATGTCCTTCCAGCAATTCTGTCATGGAAGACAGGTCTGAGGCACCTGCCTCACTGGGGTTGTCTGAGGTGAGGAATCAAGGGGCAGAGTCCACCTGGATCATGTGATCTGGACAGGTCCCCAGGGGAGGAGACTGAGACTACATTGGGCTTGGTGGCCAAGGCCCTGCTCAATATAAGGAGCTTTGTTTGTTGAAAGATTATCTATGTAGCTCTCCTTCTGGACATGAGAATGTGAGGCTGTAACAGTGCTGGGTCTCTGGATCCTGGCTGGACTTTCACACAACTGAAGCAGGACTGGCAGTTATGAGCACAGCTTAGACAGGAAGAAATGTAACTTTCTGTACTGCATTGCACTTGTTCTTGAGACCTCAGTAAGATCCTTATGACGCAAATGGTGGGCAAACTCTTTATCTTGCCCCATAAGGTCCGTCTTCTTTGAGTAAATGCTCAATTGGTTCAGTGTTCAGAATCCCTTTGGGGGCTCCTTACCCCTTAAGTGGCCTCCCCTGCCCCTCCTCCACCTCTAGGTACAGTGAGGGGTGTGCACTCTGGAAAGGGACCCAGCTGGTTCTCTAGCTTTTCCAGTCTTGGGGGGTGTTCAGCTCATATCCACTGTGAATGTCCACGGTCCTGCTGTGCCTTCTCTTCTCCAGGTCAGCCTTGCTGGGCCTTTCCCATTCCGAATCCAGACCCCTTCTGGTCTCCCTGGCTTCCCTGCTCCCAGTTGGGGCTATGAGGCTGCCCTCAGGTTCATATACCTGATGATGTCCCTCAGCTGTGTGGTCACCAAACTCATCTGAGAGGCTAGATCCTGAGAAGTGGGTGCAAATCCTTGCTTTCCTTAGATTCTACTTTACCTTTCTTGGGTTCTATTATCTTCTGTAATTCTTCCTCATCCATGGGGCAAGGCTAAGGATGGCATGATACAAAGGTCTTCTCAGGAATCAGGCAGCTTCAACACATTAGTGCCAACCCCTCTGAATAACTACTTGCTGCTGTTTCAACTTTATCTCCATTTTTGGTTGTAGGAAGACTTTCTCACTCCTATCTTACCTCCTCCCTGCTCTGTGCCTACCCCATGAGCAGCCATCTAAGCTCTGGCCACCAGAAGCCATACATTCAGTACTCTCCCTTTCAACCAAGTCAGTTTCTTTCAATGAAAGCTTTGCTTTCAGACTACTATAAGACTGGGGACTGAACTCTAAAGCTGAGTGAGAAAGGACTTCTGTCCTCCTCCGTGTCCACCTACCAAGCGTTGGCTCAGTAGATGGAGGAAAAGTACACTGGATAATATGTCAAGTTATCCAGCTCCACAACCAACAATGGGAGTGCACCTGCTTCTTAAAGAAGTCAAGCAGCAAGCTGGGTTTCTGTTCCTCAGACCACCTTCTTCTCAGACCTTAAACTCTTTGGCTTAGATGAGGCCAACCATCAGTTTGTTTGTTTGTTTGTTTTCCTTTTTGTCTTTTTTCGTGACCGGCAACGGATCGCAACCCTCAGTGTCGCGCCTGTACCGGACCGGGACCAGCAACGGGATCGCAACCCTCGGTGTTGCGCCCGTACCTTGCTCAGCCAGTGAGCGGCCGGTCTGTATGTGGGATCCGAACCCTCAGTGGGAGCGCCGCACTGTAGCAGTGCACCACTGGGCCGGCCCCCAACCATCAGTTTTTAATGAACTGTGATTTTAAAGACAACATTGATAAACTTCATCAAGTCTTCCTGTTCTGATAATATTATATTCCTGGAATTTTCCAGCTAACTTTTAAAAACTGAAAGAATGGTCTACAGTACACTAGACTATAGGCTAATAGGATTCAACACAGCAATATATGAATCTGTCTCTTAGGTTTAAAACATTCTAGATATGTAAACAGTTAAATTTTTAAAAAATAAAGCTTGTAAAGCTAAATATGAACTAAGAAAATAGCTTGATCGTATGTATAGTCGAAAGACTCAAGATCAGAAAAAAAAAAAGTTATTCATACTTATTTTGTGCCAGTTGCTGTTCCTGGCACTTTATGCATATTACCCTATTTAATTTTCATAACCACCCTGTGAAATACGCACACACAAAATCTGTTTTACATGGGAGGAAACTAAAGAACAGACATAACTTGCCCAATATCCAGCAAGTCAATGAAGTGTTAGGGTATGTGGGTAATAGTGTTAAATCCTTTTTAACCACTTTCATTCTAACAAAATGCAAACTAGAAATGTAAATGAGAGGGGACTAGAAAATAGATAAATTTTAAAAGATAAATTAAAGCATTTGATTGCAGTGTTTTATCATCCACAGTGATATAATATAGTTCATGGGTTTCAATATCTGAACTGCCTGACCATGATTTGAGTGACTTTATTTTTTAGTCATGGGTTTGTTTTCTCAAGTTGAGATTTCAGAAAATTGAGAAAACACAAAATAATCTTGTGCCCTACTAAAACCACTGTTGGAAATATACTAAAAGGATTCCAAATGTTTTTCCTGTGCAACTAAATTAAATTACCATAGGTACATAACATTGTGTGTCTTGCTTTTAATTTTCCTATCATTGGCATGTTTAGATGACCCACTAAGGGGGACAACTTTCTAATTGTTGAACACTTAAGTTATTTTCAGCTTTTTGTTCTCATAAACATGGCAAAAACCTGATGTAATTAGCCCTTTCTATATTTTGTATTTTTTTTCAGGATGGCTTCCCAGAAGTAGAACTCTTGAGTCACAGGTAAGTACATTCTGTGACTTGATGCATAGTGCCAATTTATAATACTACCAGCAATGTAAGAGTGCCAGTTTCATCACATAATTGCCAACAATGTGATCTATTAACACGATGGAAATTTCATCGGTAAAAGTGGTATTTTTGATTTAAACATCTTTGATTACTAATAAATTAGTAATTGCTAATGAATTAGTAATGAACTAAATTTTTTATACTTTTTTATTAGTTGTATTTCTTTTGTGAATTGTCTGTTCTTATCCTTTAGCCATTACAATGGACTTTCTTCTCTGTTTCAGGCTCCCACAAATATGAAAAATGAAAAGGCTCAGGAACAAATAAATGCAATCTTAAAAATTTTGGAAGTTTTTTTTAAAAATAGATTTTGCAGTAATTCAGAGTTTAACAATTACCCTTATAACAGTTACCCTTTAAATGGCCTTGCAGTCACACATTTACTCAACTGTGCTTTCTCCTTAACTTCATGCTTCGAAGAAATGGACTTTAGGTCCTTCAGCCTTGCTACCAACCCCTTAATTAGGTTTCTCTCCTCCTCTTCTCAGGCTTTCATTACATCTGTTTTTCATCACTTTGAGGAGTAAGTGACTATTACCTCCCAGGGAAATTAACCTTTAATAGGAATGCCAACTTAAGCTGGGAGAGTATGGAGTTGTAAGCCTTGACCAATGACAGTGAGAATGGTCAAGGTTTTCTAAATACCAGCTAAGGCCAATGGCACCTTTGCACAAGTTAGACACTGAAGGATGTTGAGCACAAAGGCAGACTTTAAAACAGTTGTTCACAAAGACATAGTACTTAATATATGCTGGGTTCTGTTCTCCACACTTTACATATGTTAACTTGTTCTTACAACATTCCTAAAAGATAGTCATGATTATCTCTCTTTTATAGATGGGGAAACTAAGGCACAGAAAATCTATTAGCTTGGACTGCCAAAACAAATACCATAGAGTGGGTGGCTTAACAAAAATTTGCTTCTCACAGAGAGATTGGGAAGTCCAAGATCAAGGTCTGAAAGAGTTCAGTTTCTGATGAGGGCTCTCTTCCTGGCTTGTGGATGGCTGCCTTCTCACTGTGTCCTCACAGAAAGATAGCTAGCTCTGGTCTCTTCTCTCATGAGGACATCAGTCCTATTGGATTAGGGATCCACTCTTATGACCTCACTTAACCTTAATTACTTCCTAAAGACCCTTCTCCAAATACAGCCACACTGGGGGTTAGAATCTCAATGTATGAATTGGGGGGAACAGAATTCTGTCCATAGCATTCTGCCCCTGGCCATCCCGCCCCCAGTTTATGCCCTTATCACATACAAAGTATATTCATTTCATTCCAACAGCTCTCAAAGTCTTGATTCATTCCAAAACAACTCTAAAGACTAAGTCCAAAGTCTCATTTTATATATCATCTAAATCAGGTATGGGTGAGACTTGAGGTAAGATTTCTACCCTGAGGCAAAATTCTTCTCAGCTGGGAGCCTGTGAAACCAGACATGCTTTCAAAGAACAATGATGGGACAGGCATAGGGGAGGTATTTCTACTCCAAAAGAGAGAAATTGGAAAGAAGGATTGATGGGTCCCCAGCAAGTCCAAAACCTAGTAAGGCAAATTCCATTATATCTTAAGGCTCAAGAATCATCCTTTTTGGCTTGATGTCCCACCTTTCAGGCCCACTGGGATGGCAGTGTCATCCTCATGGCTTGGCAGAGTGGCCCCACCCTCTGTAATGGAGGAGGAACCAGCCTGTCCTTGGACCTGTGGTGTGAGTGGCAGCCCTGAAGATCTCTAAATTGCATTTGAGGTCATTCTTCTCTTTCCTTGAAGAACAGTACATGTTTGCAGATGAATAGCTATATGGTCTGGTCCAGGAGTGTTTTAATAAACACATCATTCCCTGGTTTCCTTGGACAGACCTTGGGTCCAGGGAATAGGGAGAGGGTAGAGGGTTTCCCCTTGTGCAGCTGAGCCTGTTCTAATTATTCTAGCTGGTTTTGACAGGAGAATGGGAAGAGGACTTGCGGACTTGGTGATTCTGAGAAAGGAACAGGAATGAATGAGAAGCTCTGAGTGGGAAAGGAGGGTACAGGGACCAGAATGCCTGCCAGTTGTTCTAGGGTTGTTGTGATGGGCATTTGCTTTTTTTCTAAATCAGTAGTAGCTCCAAGAGTGGTGTTTCTTTAATGTTAGTGTGCAAGGCAATCACTAGTGCTTGTTAAAAAACATTGATTCCTGGGCCCACCTCCAGAGATTGATTCCACAGCAACACCGTAGTGTGGTCTGGTGATTTTTGTGGCAGTGTCTGAGAGCTGTGTTGACCCAGAACCTAGAAGGAGCAGAAGGGCCATGATCTGTTTTAGGATCAGTGGCCAGATGCTTTTCTGGAAGCATTTTTACAAGCACATTTTTAAAAGCACTTAAAGCGAATGTTAGGGGAGTTTTGGGGGACTGTTGGGGATTATGCAGGTGTAATGTTCCAAGCTACCCCCTGATGTCACTACTCTCTGAGGGCCAGGACTTCAGAAGCACTGTCAGAAAGTGTTAGACATGGGAGTTGACTTAGATACACTGTCGTTTTACAGAGGAAGACAATGAGGCCCAGAGAGGTTAAGTAGCTTCATCAAGATCACACAGCTGGTTAAAGGCAGGTTTGGGGCTGCAACCAAGAGTCCTCCTTCCCTATCCAGTTCTGCACTCCCTACACACCTGTTCCCTCTGGGGTGGGAAGAGGAAGGGGAGAGAAGATGATGTAGTGAGGGTGGGAGACGCCTGGACCCATAGCCCCCAAGAGCAGGGCAACAACAAAAATCTTGTCCTAGTTGAAAAGGAGTCAGAATTAGGATAGGGATAATTTTGGCTTGCGATTCAAACACTCAAACAATTGCTATTACAACCATTGATAGAGTCATCTTCCAAATAAATGCAAGACGTCCTTCTCAGACAAAAAATATTCCAAATGTGAGACTTTTTTTTCTTTTTTAATCCCAAGGAGGATATCCCCTAACTCGGCCCCCCCTTCGGATTTTCTTCTGTTGGCTCTGGGCTGTACCGGGCAGTGAGCGGGGTCTGCGGCGGTGCGGGCGGCGACACTGCGGGCGGCGACACTGTGGGCGGGCGCACTGCAGCACCGCGGCCCGCGGGCTGGCTGGCGGGCAGG